CGGGCCCGTGACGGGATTCGAACCCACGACCTTACGGTTGCGAGTCCGAGAGCCTTACCAGTAGGCCACCGACGCAAGTTTTAGTATCACTTTTTTGTTTTATGCTTTAATAAAATTGTTTGTTTCACATTTTAGTAAGTGTTTTACGGAACTTGCAACAAAATAAGGTCATAGAAGTGCCGAAGATTAGAGGTGATACAAGAGAGCAACTAACACAAAAGAGGATAAGGAAAGATAAGGACGATAGATGTTTGATAGGAAAGAAGGAGCACACCATACGAAAGCACCCACCCGTCAACCACCCACAGTAAGTTTTACGGCACTTGTAACACAAATAGGTCACATCTGTGTCGAAGATTGTATTGCTTGAGTGAAGAGAAGGAAGCACACAGACACAATTTGATGGTCATTTACAGCAGCGAGGGAAAGTAAGACAGACAGACAGACAGAAACAACAGAGGGGAAGAAAGAAGAGCATTTTTTTCTGTTTGACCATCCTCAGCTCGAGCATTCCTCTGCCGGTCTGTCTCTCTTTCTGTGTGTTTGCTTGTCTGTCCGTCCATCAACGACCTCAGTCGTTTTTGGATCCTCATCAACATTTCTACAAACCTCCACATCCTACGCCCCCCATCACCCCTTTCCACAACTGCGTAAGACCTATAATACTTCCCTCCTCCCTTTTTTCTTTCACTTTAATTCTTCTCTCTCTCTCTCTCTCTCTCTCTTTCTCTGTGTGTGTTTCTGTCTCTGTCTCTCTCTCTTAAACACAAACACACACACACACAAACTAACACACACACACACACACAAGCTCCCATCAGAATAATTTCCATAAACAGACACGCATCATTCTTCCTTTCTGCCTGTCTATCAATTATACACAACCAGACATAGAGAATTCTCCTCCCCCTCCCCGGGCAACATTCTCTCTTTCTCTCTCTCCCTCCCTCTCCCTCCCTCTCTCCCTCCCTCTCTCTCTCCGTCTCTCTCTCTCTCTCTCTCTCTCTCTCTCTCTTTCTCTCTCCAATTTGTCAATTTTCAATAAACAGATAAACAGACACCCCCTTTTCCGCCTGTCTTGCCCATCAATTATTCTTCACACAGGCATACTCTCTGCA